ACATTCGTTTTTACAATTATAAAATTTTATTATTATTATATTAATATTATTTATTATATATTATATATATTAATATATATTATATATTTTATATTATTATATTATATATTTTATATTATTATATTATATATTATATATTTATTATATTTATTATATATATTAATATTATTTACTGTAAATAATCCACGATAGAACTTTCACGAAGAATTTTGTTTTTTTTTTTTTCCTCTTTTTTTCTCGAATTCCGCAATTTTTCTTATCTCGGTAGGGAAGAGTCGTTCTCTCCAACGTGTAATAACACTTTCGGGTTAGGCATTGTGAATGAAACTCGTTTTTCAAGCTTTCCTTCGCCATTCAACCATCGAGAAGCGAGAAGATCGACGCCTCTATCTCTGCTTCCTGAACGATTAGCCATTTCTCTTCTCTCGGAGAAACGTTTTAAGCGCGGCGGGGCGACTGCAACGAAAAATCACCCGAGCAAAAAGAGAAAAAATGCTCCTTCCCGTTCGAGAAAACCGGTGGAGGCCGTTCCCTGGATTTAGTGATTTTATTGCTTGTCAACAGATTTATCTTGTCCTCGAATGATGGACAGCGCGGATTAGGAATAGGGCGAAGAAGCGTTGGAATCAGCGATTCGTTAAAAGAATGTCGTAAATCACGGAGCGTCGTAATCGATCAAACAGTGTAAGGAAGTGTATTGCATTTTTTCCTCGTTACGTCGCATATCTTATGATAGAGGAAAGCAATTGAAATTCGTGGAAATATTCTGGTTCGTTGATAAAATATTTTAAAATGTAAGATAATTAAATCCTTATCTCGAAGTGATATTTTGCGAAACTGAGAAAGCTTATTTGCTTTCGAAAATTAGTCATTGCAATTTTTATTGCACAATCTATATACACAATGTATACGTATATATAGATTTCTTATTTGATAACTTCATATATTTATCTCCCTTTTACATGTATATCTATCGATTACTTTTAATTGACATTTTTTACATGAAGTTAATTAATTAACATTTTTGTTAAAATCTTCTTAAAGTGTGAAGATAATTGCCCAGGGAAGGAGGGAGGGGGAGGACATAAAACTTGAGATACCAAATAAATATAATATAATATAAAAAGATGTATCTTATTAGAAATTACTATTATTGGAAGAATATATTTTATTTCTATAATATATAATTGTATAAATAAGAATTTATAATATCATTAAAATAACTCTGCTTTTGACATTTTTCAATTAAATTGTAAGGAGTAAAATTATAAAATTATATTTGACGAGATACCATCGAGAAAATCCGGTATAACAAAGAGAAAATTAAGTTTTTAAGGATTTATCGAAGTGTGGGTTATCTTTGACCCAACCATAACATTCCGCGGTCCATACTTCGTTAAAGAAGAATTGTGAATAATTAGCATAAAGAAAAAGTTTGATCGTGATTGATATGATCACGATAGAATCGTTATTAATTTCAATTTTGTTTATTATTCGTTAAATTTATTATTAGAAGATATCGTTCTTAACGGAAAAATATGCCGAGAATACGGTTTCAAGGCGCGACTAAATATCGTGGGCCAGATATCGTGGCATGGATAATCGAATAGAAAAACGATAGGTATTTTGTTACGTAACTCCATTGGATTCCATCGTGTAATTAGAGATGAGCGAACACTGATCCTTGTATTTCAATTCTATCTACGATCCTTAAATTATCGATGGAAGAACGAACAACATTCTTCAATGCGATTGAACTTCTCTTTTTCTTTTTCCTTTTTTATTTCGTTACACCATTCCGAAGCATTTAAAACATCTTAGTGCAAATGCGAAAAATAAATATTATATGTGTAAGTCGATCAATAATTAATCTTGTATAACTTTTGTTCTAATTGAAATATATATATATATATATATATATATCCTTTATTGAATATATTTTTTTGATTGTAACGTTATTTTCGTTCCCATTTGTGCTTTTCAATTTAAATCATTAATTGCATAAAAATATTAAGTAATTGTTACATTTACAAGTCTCATATTATAAATCATAAAAAAGAAGAATTAAATATTTGCACAAAAAATATATATAGGTATCGTAATTTTTTAAAGTATTAGTGAAAAGTTAGGTTAGATTAACGAAAATTGGTTTTTATACTATATATATATATATATTTATATTGTTAAAACATGTATCTTAATTATAATTTTCTATCATATATTTAAAATGTATGATCATGATTTTTTGAATTATTTTATTTTCTTAATCTATTCTAAGATTCTTGAGAGCAAAAAATTATTTTGGAAATATTTTTATCGTTCAGATCACCGTGCGATTTTCGCACGTTTTGTCAAATAAAAAAAATATATAATTGAGAATCATTTTCATATGGATGATAAATTAAAAAATGCGACATTAAAATGATGTTAAGAAATTGAACGCAAATTCGTTGAAAACAAACGTTGCGACAAATGTTTGTAGATAGTGTGTACAATTATAATATACACATATAGAATATACGTACATCTATAAAAAAGGAGACGAGCGATTTGATTGCCAGTGTTATCGCATTTTTAGTTCGCTTCCTTAACCAAAGTAAGGAGCAGTATGAGTGAAATACAACGAACATTGACAGTCAATTGTTTCTTAGCTTAGTGTGAAAAAACATAGAGGCTCGTTAGAGACCGAAGCAATTTGAGGAAATGATGGAGATAACTCTGCTGTCGAGATATTACATGTATGTATTCTCTGTCCTCACCGAGCATAAAATATCTAACCTTTTTTAATTTTTCAAGATACCTTGAAATATTTAAAGCTTTACGTGTCTTCTTTCATGCTTTCATTTGAAGTTAGAAAATCTATATAAACTTTATATAGAAATTTAAAATTAACTCAATTGTTTAAGAGAAATATTCTAAATTTGAAATTTCTCGAATATCTCCAAATGTTAGAACATTTTAATTAAAGAGGGCAGTACTGTACAAAATGTGTACTACACGTTTTTAGCAATGAAAAATTTTTCTCCATTACTTTATATTTGTTATATTTTTTTTTTTTTTTTTTAAAGAGAGAAGCAATAACTTATTGACAGATTTACGTGAAAAAGTGCATAAAAATTATCCAGATTTCTTCTGGGCAATATTCCAACGATTCGTCACATGAACGATCGGGAAATACGTATATCGTTTTATTTCGTTGTTTATTCGTCGCAAACGTTACGCCACATCGTCCGGACGTTATTTATCAAGTAATACTATTAGAATCGGTCTCTTTGGATGGATGTTGCGTTGTTAATAGTAGCGGTAGTAGTCTCGAACGAAGTCAGTCGGTCGGTCACAGTTGTCGAGTCACCTCTCCTTCTCTGATAGTGGTTCAGTTGTCGAGTGATCTCCACGATCCTTAGTTCGCGAACAAGTGTTCTCAAGCTCGCTCGTGATTCTGATCGCTATCCTCAGCGCTGTCTTCATTGCCGACCACGTCGCCCTCGTGGCGCTAGGGCGTATTGTTTCGTTTCAAGGTGTGTATTCCTCGTATGGTCTTTCACGCTCGCTTTTTTCCCTTTTAAAATTTTCTTTTGATGGAATTTTGTTTGTCTTCTTATTTTTTTATTATAGATAAGGACGCTTGAAAATTTTTGCTACTTTCGTGATTCGAAACTTTCGAAGTCTAAACAGTTTACATGATAACTTTGGTAACTTTTATTCAATTAATAATAATTTAATTATGTTTTGTATTTAAATTTTGATATAATTTTACTGATCTATATACAATATTTCATATAAAACAAAATAAATAATTTCATTTTCTATGAGCTAGAATAATAATGCTATTATTATTATATATCATTGCTGTTGATTAATTACGAATCTGAGTTTGAAATATTCTAGAGAACAAAATTTGTCGAAATATTTTAATTTTTAATTTTTAATTTCTGATATAGATTTTTTTTTTTTAGAAAAAAAAAAATAAAAATAAAGAAAGAAAAATCAAGCGTTTCTGCACCTTATATTTGAATTTAAAGTAGAATAATTTGCTTTGATGTGTATTCTAAATTCTAGGAAAAAGTTAATTCCATCTTTTGAATTCCATTCCCTTCTGAAATCCAATTTAAACATTTTCATTTCTTCTTTATAATATCAGTTGCTCCATCTATTCTTAATCGATTTTCATCTTCTTTTTCATCAGATAAAGCATTAACTAGAAGTCTGCAATTTATCCATTCCAATGAAACTGTTCCTATTTCTTTCCTTCTTATTTCCTTAATTGTCTTGTTATTTTGCGTGTTTTCGTTTCTATCGCTATTTAGTAATTCCTTTATCGATATTCTTTAATTGTAATTGAAAAAAAACCTGAATTATTAATTTTATACTCATGCATACATTTCAAAAAAAAAAAAATAGAGCTATAAAAGGAAATAGATAATTGAATTAGTTTAAAAGCTAATTATTAAGTGAAATTTTTTTTAAATAAATTAATTGATTTAAATATTTAAAAAGAAATTTTATTATTAAAATTTTTAGTTGATATTGCATTGATAAAATTAAAAAAAATTAAAATAATAATTAAATAATTATAAATACTATAAAAATATTTTCATAAATAAACAACATTATTTAACAAATTTAAAATAGTATTACTTTATTTAGATCATTATAAAAATATGGAATATTGTATGACATTTCTTATTTTTTTTTTTTATTTCATTTATTTATTCCAAAAATTGTTATTTGAAATACCATTATGTAAAATAATATTTTTTAATATTTGTACGAGTTTATATTAACTCAAAAAAAATTCATCATCATATGAAATATAAAGACATAAAGAAAGTTAACAATCACGTAACTTCATCAAAACAAAAGTAGAGATAGTGTGAAATATTATGTTGGAATGGAACTCAAAAAACAAACGACGGATTAAAATTATACTCATATTTAAATTTACAAATAAAAAAACATAGTATTAACTTTCGCACTTTCTGTTCTCTTAACTGTTGCAGAATTATCCCTACTAATTTCTAAAACTGGAATTCAAGTTTTTAAAGTACGTATTAATTAAACACTTAAAACTATATCGTATCAAAAGTTAACCAAACACTACTTACATTTATTTCCATTTATCTATTTTTAAAAATCTATTTTCGCTAGACTTGATATTTTTTAACAATTAATTATTAACAATCTTAATTATTTTTCATTGATTTGATCCATATTTACTTCTGAACCTTCCACTTGTAAAAGCAACGTAGCAAAAGTATCGATCGATTAATTTGAAAATGAAAAATTATAAATTTTAATCAATAATGAAACTGAGAAAAAACGTGTTTTTTTGCACAGCTAGCAGAACGGAGCTGCCATCTCAGCGACTCCTCCACATGTGGACATCGCCGTCCCGACTCAGGATCGGCCGAGCACCCAGGAAAAAGACGACACCTTAAGGTGATAGCTGCTGCAGCAGCTACCGCGACCGGTGAACGATGGAGAACACCAGGAGAAAGTTGTCTTTCCTTGGTTTTGGCAAGAGGGTATCGGTAAGTCTTTTATTTTCCACACGATTTTCAATTTCGTTATTTTCATAATAACGACACGTGGCGTCGATCCTTTCAAGAATTCGAAACATGAAAATAATTATTCTTACAACGTGAAATTTATATAACTATCGTTTTTGACGTACGTTAATACTGTAATAATAACTTGATGAAATAGTTATTATATATCGAGGAAGGTTTTCGAAAGGTTTGCTTAATAATTAAGCGAAAAAATTAACGAATATTCAACTGCGAATTGACGAATTAATAATAATTTTATATTTTTCATATGTATATTTATCACTGTATAATGATATATAATCGCATATAAATTTTCAAATGTTATATTATTTCTATAAAATGTTTCGATATAATTATCTCCAATACTTTTTATTTGGTATCTTGATTATTGAACTGGTTAAAACAGGTAAATGTTTTAGATAGTTATATTTTTTTTAGCGATAGCATTTTTTTTTTAAATTAATCTTCACTCTTCATTCTTTGATTTAATTTACACCTAAAGCGTATTTCTTGAATTAATCGATGATTAGAATTTTTAATTTGTTTGAACAAAAGAAAAGAACTTACTATTGTTAAAAAATAAATGATAATCTATTGTTTTTCCAATACTTATTATTATCGGTAAAAGTATATAGATTTGTAGATTTTATTATATATATTATAAAAAAAAATAAATAAAACAGAAATTCATTCGTTATCGAAGATTTTATTTGGAATTCTATTGACATTAGTTCCAGTAATTTTTTTTTTTTTTTTTTTTTCTGCTCTTGGCAATAACTTCTACGAAACACAACATTTTATCCAATTATTTACGTTACGTTCTTAAAAAAAAAAACTCTTCCATTGATTAAAGTCGTGCCGACTTTTTAGTCTTCCGACACAATGTTATTTCTTGTTAATTTATTACCAGTTTCCATTTAATTTTTTTCCTTCTAAACAAAAGAGAATAAGTTTATCCTTTTTTTTTTCCTTCTTTTATTATACACTCCAATTAGTATTTTTGAATACGAGTTAAACAATGTTTATCGGAATTTTAATTAATCGATTGATTGCATCGATCATTTAACAATGAATCGAAATTCCTCCAACGAAATCATTGTAATTCCGAACGTGTATTGAAACTTTTATAAAAATATTTATTCTTCAGTTTCTTGATATTATGTATAGAAATACAATATAGAAATGTATAGTCTTGTTTAAGAATTTAAACTTCGGGATAGATCGGAATAATTCGGACAGGATCGTAAAGTTTCGGAAAGGATCGTAAAGTTTCGGAACATGAGAGCGATATAAGAATAAGAAACGAAGTAATATCGTTTAATCTCGATAATTTATATTTATTTATTGTTAATATCCAATTTTATTATCAAAAAAAAAAAATATTTCAAAAATAAATTGTAAACTGTTTATTAATGACAAGTTTGTTTTTTCAATTTTCTCCAAAAAAACTTAACGACATAATTCATTATAAACTGTCTATATATACATAACGAAACAAGCAAAATGCTATTCTCGTTTTATCTTTGATAATAATGATTATAATAAATAACAGTGAAAGATAAGGATGGGCCGAGAGCCTAAGGATTAAAAGAAATTTATGTTATATTATTATTGGTGTGAAATTACTCTCTTCCAGGAAGATTCAATGAATAATTCTCGAGTACATATCCACGACAAAAGTATATAAAGAATAAATATCATGTGTCGTTTCCGCGAGATTGCTAATGAGAATTCTATGACGTCAAAAAATGATAAGCCTTGTCTTTGTATAATAGTCAAATCGTTCTCTTGTAACGTCACAAATGTTCAATTTATCAATTCTCTATTATTTATGAATAACTAAACGATTTATCAAAACTAAACCAATATTTTTTAAAATTGTACATCTTTCGTTTTCGCAATAATGTTCAAGATGGACGTCACTAATTTACTATGCAATTACCTCAATTCTGATTTTTCAGATTATTTGGTTATAAGTGTTTAAAAATTTAAGAAATTTCTCTTTAAATTAAAATGAGTCAAAAATAAAAAATAAAAAAAAATAAAAAATTTGCGATTCTTTGCTTTGACGATTAAAAGTTGTCTAAAATGTCTCTAGGCATGAGCTAACTAGACTTCTGGAACTGCACTAATTCGTAAGTACATATATACAAATTTGCCTAGTTTTAATTATCGATAATTAAAAAAACAAAACTTGAATTTTTATATTTTTAATTTTAATTTTAGCTTGAAGAAATACATTGATTAAATTTTTGGATATCTATATATACGCTCTATATACAAGAAACTTACAATTAAATAACGGAAAAGTTGAAACAGCTAAAGTTGTTCAAAAGATTCCAAGACTTTTTTCATTTTGCTTATTTTCGACGGAGTAATTGCAAAGTTGTACTTGATCTGATTTTCTGTAGTATGTTGTTGTTCAGCCAACTAGAAAGTTTCATGCATGTTACTTTACTGTTTGCTACCATGCACCAGTTGTTTTAACTCAGTTTTAAAAGTTTAATAAAAGTTATGGTAAAATTACGTCAAACAAATCACAAATTTTCGAACGATTCAATTTTAAAATCTAAAAATTAATATCAGAATATTGTTTTGTTTAAGATGAATTTAAAATTGTTTACCTTCCCGCCATAAAATTTTCAAATCCAATTGGATCGTAATACATAACTTTCCTTGTATATTTCTTCACAAATTTAAAAATTTTATATCAAAAATCAAAATTTGAGTGGTAATATTTTTGGAAAATTTTTAAAATTAACATAATTGTTTTAATTTATCGTTTTTTCATTCCATTTAAAAAATATATTTCGCGTTTAAAATTTTATTAATTCAGAAATCAGAAATTTATTAATACTAAAAAATAATACTTTAAATATTGACACAACATAATTAAATTCTATTCCTACATTTTTTTTATTACAAAATTTTGAAATAATTATCATTACAATAATATTTAATAAATTCACATTTTAGAAATTTACTATTAAAATCAAATGTTAAATGACATTGTTACAAATTTTGGATATTGATTATGTCTTATATGTGTAGAAATTTCAATCTAATTATAATAACGTGCAAAATCAAATTAGAACGAGGACCGAGAAGTCACGTGAGTGCAATCGCCTCCGCGGTCTCGCATTACACGTTCGTTTCTCGCGACTCAACTGGCCACGTGCGAAGGAATTAATTAACATGTCGCGCGTGATTGCTCACACACGTTCGAACAGTGAATCCCATCGTGCAAAGCCACGATACTGGTCGGGTGTCATTAAACTGGTCGTTATCGTGCCACAAAGATTACATAGCAGAACCGCGTGTGTTCGATCGGCTATGATTCAACGGATGTCCCAGATTTAATGGATTTTATATTAACGTAACGACTAAAATTAACATTCTTGACGTGCGAACGATGCGTCACGTGCGATTTTTATACAACGATCTATTAATTTTTCAGTAGATAAAAAAATTTTTTTATCCATATTTTTATTTTAAAATCTACTTTTTATTATATCAGTAGAACACTTTATATATCTTAATTAAAAGAAAAAAACAATGATGAAAACGATAAATCGATATATAATAATTACAATAATATTTATTAATTGATAATATCCTTTGCTAAATTGAATACAAGAAAATTGAACGTTAAGTTGACGTTATTTTTAAAATAAGTTTTTGAAAGAAAGCAGCACTTTGATTTGTAAAAAAACGTAGAATAAATAACTGCTACAATTTGCCTGGTTACAAGTACGATCGATAAAATTGTTCGTAGCAAAGTTGTTATATGTTAAGTAGATGCGTGAAGAAAAAAGGAAAATAAGAATCCTAGAAAAAATAATAAATTTAATTAGTTTTAACATATATGAATAATCAATACAGGAATGTTAAATGAAATATAAATTTACGTTGTTTAAGTGTAAAAAATCTTAAAAATAGAAAAAAATAAATCATAATTATGACATATAATTTTTGTATCGCATACAGTACTGCCCTCTTTCATTGAAATCTTTTGTTTCATATTTCTAATCATACGAAAATTAAAAAATCAATTTTTATCTTCTTTGTGTTTTCGTTGTTAAGACAAATATCTAAATTGTTTTTAAATCTCTATTAAATTCATAGATTTCCAACTTTACTTACAAAGTAAAAAATATGTACAACTTCAAATATTTCACCAAAAATATGAAAAATGAAAAATATGATATTTAAGAAGGTCAATATAATACCATAAATAACAACCACAGTAATCATTCCCAGTAATTTCTTGAAATTGTTTCAAGACCAAATGAGTCTCCAAGTTTTTTACACATTAGCCAGGCTCGACTTTCTCTTTATCTCATTCAAACTAATTGTTTCTCGCTCTCGTTAAGAAGTAAGTGAACTAAAAATATATAATGACGCTGCAAATTTCCAGAAAACGTTTCTTTTTAATAGACGTGATATATGATTCTAATATGTTTCTATTATTGAGATATTATTGTACATTGAAATGAAATGACAAATAAATATTCTGCAAAGGTTAGATTAAATTCAGTTTGACTTTTAGATTAGGCTTTTAGTTAGACATATGGTCGAAGCAAACAGTGCATTGTGAAAAGCAAACCATAGACAAGTGAATCAAAGAGCAAAATACATTACCATTTCGATCAAGCCTCTTGTAACTCGCGTCAAAAATAGACGCAATTTCTACTAGCAATGAGTGGTGCCCTTGAAACGATACGCCGCTCTTTGAAGAGCAGATCAAATGTCATTGTGTTTCGGGTCATATAAACCGCATACTTCATTGTACATCAAGGTCATTGCCAAATGCACATTATCGAGTTACACGAAGGAAAATTTCTAATAATTGCAATCGCGAGCGAATTCTTTCCCGTTCTGTTTTAAAAAACTTTCGTTTCTCGATCGATGCAAAGCAGTAAACTAAGTAGCGTGCGATTCAATGGACTGCTCTGCATCCCATGTTATTGACCTACGACCGT